TAATTATATATATATATATATATATAATATATATATATATATTTATTTTAATTATTTAATTAATTAACTCTCACTAGAAATTAATAATCTTTTTAAACAATAAAATCAATATTTTGACATTGTATGCACGTATGACACATTGTATGTACAATGTATTATCATACATATAATTATCACATACAATTAGTAATAATTTCTATTTTTGTAAAATGTTATTAATAATAGTTTTTGAAAAGCTACACAGAATATCATATGAGATAAATAAATATATGAAATATATTTTAAGCTTATATGTTTATGTATTATCTCTTATATAAGTTGTTTATGTAATTTGTAAGTTTTCTCTTATTTAATTCTATATTAACATGATAATAAGATATAATATTATTTTTTTGATTGCAGAATATAGTATTTTAAATAATTTTTAAAATTCAAATTTTAATATTCAAATATTAAAAGAAGAAATAAGGCAAAATTGAAGAGGACTTTATATTTCTAAATAATGATACTTACTTTATTGCTACTGTGTTTTCTTCTTATACTATTATATTACTATTATATTCTTTGTGATAGAAAATTTGTGCAACTTATTGATAAAATACCGAGTGTACCGTCACTTCCAATATTTGGCCACGCCTTAATATTATGGATGCCATCGCGAGGCAAGTAAAACTTCTTGAGACTCCTTTATTTTAATTATTTATAACTTTGAATTTTAATTACGTAAAGTATTATTTGCAGAAATATTAATAAATAAGTAGAAATACAGTTATAATTATTTAACTGTATATAGTATCTGGCCAAAAAAAAGTGCAGAAATGTGTACGTTTATTTTTTATATTCATTTGACAATATTTATTAATTGTAATTTTAGTTGTGTATTTAATATATTTAAATACTAAACAAAAATTTACATTATGATTAAAATACAAAAATTCAAAATATTTCTTTAATTAAATAGTTTTTATAATTATGATTTATTGTAACTGTCAAATAATTCATAATGCATCTATAAAATTTTTATCAAAAAATCAGAAAAATTGATATAAATTGATTAATTTTTCTGATTTCTGATAAAAATTCAATAATACATTAGATAATGAAACTTTATTTATATCTTATTAATAATAAAGATATAAATAATTTTATAGATACATGAATATATTAAATTTATGTTATTTATTATTAAATTTTATATTTTTCATATTTTAGAAGACCTTTGGAAGCTTCTGCATGTATATACTAATATTTATTATCCAATATGGAAGCTTTGGTTAGGACCATTTGCTTATGTCAGTATTTGTCATCCAGATGATTTAGAGGTACAAAAGATAAATCTACCATTTATCATTTATTTATTTATTTTTTTGATATGTTATATGAAGTTTCAACAATAATTTTTATATTTCAACATTAATTTTCACTTTCCATGGTAATTTTAAATTTTTACAAGTATTTAATCATTGCAAAAATCAATGTCAATGTTATTAAGTTATTGATATAAGAGATATTTTCTCAAATAGTAGGGATTGCTTAGATACCATAATGTATTTGCAGTAAATATGCATGTATTATATTGCACTTTCTCCATATTATTATTTATATTACTATTTATTAAAAATTTTAATATTAATATTAATTGATTAAAAATATTGTCTTATTCAATTTGATTTCACATTTTAGAAAGTATTAAGTACTACAAAACATCTTGAAAAAGGTTCTGTTTATACTTTGTTAAATCCTTGGTTGGGAACTGGACTATTAACTAGTAAAGGTATTGTAAAAAGAATTTTTAATTCTTCTAAAAAAAAATAGTACTTTGTATAAAATAACTATAGAAAATTTACATGTTTTATATGATAATATAGTTATTAATAAACAATAAAGTAAGAAGATTATAAATATAAATTCAATATTATTAGTATTTTTATCTTGGACACAAGATATTAATACTTTCATTTGATTAATAATAAGATGCAAAAATATGATATTGATATGTAATACAAATAAAAAGAATTAACACGCAATAAAGCGAGGGAAATGAGTCCGCTTTATACACGAACAAAATGAAATTGATTCAACTCTTAGCATCATGAAATGAAGCTAAGAGCTGAATCAATTTAATTTTAACTAGGATCAATCGATAGCTGAAATACAAAAATATTACAAAACGTAATGTTTCAATACATAAATATTTACATTATTTAACACATGTTTTTAATTATTTATAACTTCATTATATAGATATAAGAATAATACAATTCTAGAAAATTTCAACTGATAACTATTCCTTGGCGTTTTTTTAAAAAGTATAAGTATAAAGTTATAAAGTTTATTCTAACTTTGCAAGATTTTCTTTATTTTATAAGATTTTACGTTGGCGTTGCTTCTTTTCTTTTCTTTTTTTTTTTGATATTATATTTTTTGTACGATAAATGATTACTATTCTTTGCTATAAAAATTTACTATACATAAAAACTATTGTGTCTTTAAGGGACATTTTTTATTTTATAAGAACAAGGTGACATAAATGTTTTGTCACGTGTATTGTATTAATGACAAAGTATTCTATATACTGCTGGAAATTTTTTTATGAAATAAATTTTTGTATACAAGTTTCAAAAATTAAGCGACGCACAAACTTCATTTTTTTACCTTTCTTTGAAAACGTTATTCTGTACGGATGAAACTTTTATTAATGCTATACAAAGAAAAATATAATTTTGTTATAGAAATTAATAAATACTATAAATTAATAAATAAATATTGATTCTTGCATCGAATTTATTAACTCAAAAATAGAAAAAAATTAAGAAAAGAATATAATAATTAGAAAAAATATTTGATATTCAAATATTCCAAATTTCTAAAGTTAGCAAATACATTCTATCTTATAGGAACAAAATGGCATGAAAAACGAAAGATACTAACACCTACATTCCATTTTAATATATTGAACCAATTCGTTGAGATGTTGATTGAGGAAGGAAATCATATGACACAATCTTTAAAGAATATTGAAGGATCGACTGTTAATGATTTAGTATCCTTTATCAGTTTTCACACATTGAATGCAATATGCGGTAAATAAATGTATATATCTATAAAACAAAAAAGATTGTTTCAACACAAATATTTCATCACATAAACATCGATTGTATTTACATGAATTTTTATTAATTATGTTATAAAAATTTAAAAATTTCATTGCGTTCTTTTCTAAGGAAATAAAGATAATTTTAAATCATAAAGCTATTTTTCATTTTAAAATGATCAAATAATTAAAATCAAAGTGATAGAAATAAGTAATATCTTTATATTTATATAGAAACTACTATGGGCACTTCCTTGCATAAAATGGGCGAGTTCCAAAAGCAATATCGCCAAGCAATATACGAAATGGGAGAAATTATACTTTATAGGTATTTCACATTCTATAGATAACAATTTTGATTAGATGCTTTATATTATATAGTTACAGTTTTATAGTTATATATATATAATTACATTTTTTTAATATCAAGAAGAAAAGCTGTTATAATAAAATTGTTATATTGATACATAACAATTATATGTAAGAGCTACAGGAAATGCATTTGTTAACAAATAAGTTATTTATTAGAATATATAACATAAATATATAACATTGTATAATATCTTACAGATTAATAAGACCATGGTTTGTTTTCGACACGATATTTGCATTAACACCAATGGGTAGAAAACAAATCAAATGTTTGAAAATATTGCACGAATTTACGGAAAAAGTGAGTAAGAATCATATTATTTAAATTTGAGAAATATAATGGAAGTATACACTCGTTTTCTAGATTATTGCAGAAAGGAAGCGATATCATGAACTTACTGAAGGACGATATTTAAAAAATTTTGCAAATGGGATAAGTAATATTGAAACAGATGATGACGAGATGTTGGGAGGTACGTATACGCAGAATATCCAATATCTGTTTTATCACATTAAAATCTTTAAGTTATTGTTATCTATTCAAGTGAAAAAAAAACGACTCGCTATGTTGGACCTTCTGATATCGGTGGCTCAAGACTACGGAATGAGTGATTTAGATATCAGAGAAGAAGTTGATACATTCACATTCGAAGTAAGCATCTACACCTTATTGATATTATACAAAAATTAAGGAAGATAAAAGTAGAACTAGTAAGAAGATCGCATAATACTGTCTATTTATTAAAAAAAAACATAATATTGTTAATTTAATATAAAAGAACTTGATTATAATATAACAATATATAATTGCAAATATATAATGTATATTATATAATTGTAAATAACTATATTAAATAAAAAAAAGAAAAGTATTTTCTAGTTTGTTAGTTTTAGTATTAGATTACACATAGTCGATATGTAACGAAGAAATAAATTTGAAAAGAATTTTCTATCACAGGGTCATGATACCGTAGCGATGGGTATAACTTTTGCAATGTTGTTACTAGCTGAGCACAAAGATATCCAGGTATCAATAATTTTTTTAATTAACAAACATGCTATTAATTAATATATGAAAACAATTAATTTTGATGATTTATTTTTAATAACTTTTAAATAAACAGTAAGATATATTGAAAATACATATGCAGAAATATCTTTCCGTTTTTATTTATATCTTAAAAATTTATTTCATACAAGTAATGCAGCATTTTAGTCATGGAATGGTCATTAAATAACAATGTAAAATTTTGTTTCATGATAGGAACGTGTCAGAAACGAGGTTAATACCATAATGCAAGCAAATGAAGGAAAACTTACCATGTCAGCGTTAAATAATATGTCTTATTTGGAAAGGTGTTTGAAGGAATCGTTAAGATTATATCCTAGTGTTCCTCACATATTGCGAATCGCATCAGAAGATATAAAGTTACGTGAGTAATTAATTAATTAAATATTTTAGACATAGAACTGTAAGGGAATAATCTTTTATAAAAATATATAATAAATTAACATTGATTTTACTCAACATTTTAATAATTAAATTATACTTTGTTTTGTTTGCTTTCTGTATTATATTTTTCATTTTTAATATATAATATTACACCGAATTATTTCATTTCTAAAGTAAATTTACTTATTATTTTTACTTATATAACAAATATCTCAATTCACAAAATTATTAATTTCTTTAGTAAAAGATTTAAACTTATATAAAGCGGTTTATAATATATGAATATGTATGCATACATGTATGTATGTATGCATGTATATAAGCATGAGTATTTTTCACAAATTTTACTAATGTTTAAAAACATCTTTTTTTACATTATTTTGTTATTATATAATATGTGTATGAACATAGATAGATGTATATACATACGTGCGTATGT